GTGAGACGGGCGTAATCGTAACGCGGCCATTTCTTGAACCAAAAGTGACGTCTGGCATTTTAAAGAAAACTATAGTGGAACCTTCTTCATGTCCAGCTGCAAAAAATGAGCCAAATATCCCTGATATAAAAGACAAAGAACCTGTCAAGTTTTATTGTCCCGAAGAAGGATGTATTAAAGCATATAGCTGCAGTCGCTATCTTAAACAGCACCTTGATATTGGAAAGCATGAATTCAAGCTTACCGAAGAATCACAGTTGTATGATCAAATACGACAGAAATGGGAGCAAAAATGCACTTCTCTAAAACCTCCAAACCCCTCGTGTCCACCAATGGTTAGCTCGGCTTCTAATTCAGAAGAAGTACATGTTCCTGATCTAGTGACCGGCTGGGCATTGAAAAAATCGAAGCAGTGCAAACGATTTCCACTGCACGTGAAGAGCTACCTTGTAGGGCAGTTCCTGATTGGGGAGGACACAGGTAGGAAAGTGACGCCAGCAGAAACATCGACACGAATGCGTTCCATGCGTGATAGTAACGGGAAACGAGTCTTTGATAAAGAAGATTGGCTAACGGTACAGCAGTTCACCAGCTATTTTTCAAGACTAGCGGCGATGAAAAAACTTGGTCAGTTGCCACCAGCACCTCTAACTGAAGAAGAAGAGGAAGAAGTCGAAGTTGCCGTGCGTACGACCAAAAGATATGATCTGCGTGAGAGAGTCTTGACTTTGTGACTTCTTTAATCGGTCGAGCTAGAGTGTATTTTGGGAGGACCTTGCGATGACTCTAGYAAAAATTTAAGGGCACTGGAAACTAGTTTCAAATGATGTCGCACATGTAATAACAATATGATGTTGCAGCTTAAAACATGAAATGGTCGGCTTTGAATGGCCATAGTACCACTTGGAGGATTATATTTGTTGTATTTTGATTTTTTTCTAAACAAATGTCTTTTAAACTTCTTGTGTTGAAGATATATATCAATATCTAAAGACGTCCAGATCAATGAATRTGTACTGTATTTTGGTGTATGGCTTTTTGACTTTGTTAATGTTGTATCATTCTCTCACAAACAGTAAGTAGCAGAGCTAAATATCTGACTTCTTCTAGATTGTTTTCCTTTATTTACTACTGGTTTGCAATGGTTTTTCATTTGATGAGTCATCTTTGTTGTAATCAGCCATTAGCTCGTTGTGTAAGATAATCGCTAAATCACGCAATTTGCGGTGCTCTCATGCTTCACAGTTAATACTTTACAAAAATATTTTTTCGTGCACTTGTTTCCTATTATCTATAGTAAAGAAAAATCAAACTGCGTACTTTTAGAAGCCCGCCGCAGCGAGAATNTACGATGTTTATTTCAGGCCAAAAATACCTGTTTTAAATTTCGATTCCAACGACTTAATCGTAAATTACCTTAATTATTTTCTTTCGAATTGCAATGATAGTTTGATACCTTCATCGTAGTGTTCAATAGATATACTACACTTGTATAAKTTTCCATTTCGAAAAGAGCTGTAGTTTTAGAGAACTGTTATTGTGAATTTCGCTCTAATTTCAAGTAATTTGCATAATTTGTCTGGGCATGATTCATTCGACATCCATATCTTCTCGGCGTTTTAAAATTTTCGTCTGATATTCCACACATTTAATAATCACATCAAAGTACATAACTGTGCAAAATATCAAGATAATCGGAGATACCCCATGTAGACACATTTTTTCAGCATTGCATGGCTTTCAGGTGGACTCGCTCTTAACAAAATAAGTGACAATTTTTATGAAAACTTTATCTAAACCGTGGAGTTTTAGGACATCGAGAACAAATAAATACCTCTCCATCGCAATAGATGGCATGGACCAAAATAAGACAGAACTACCTTCCTCCACCTTACGTTACAGCCTATTGAGCACAGCTTGGAGATTGAAAGTACACGTTGTTGGGGTGATGGTACATGAGCGTAACCCAATTGTGTTTCTGGACCAYGAACTACATGCGCATGATTCAAATTTCACTACCAATATCTTACTTCAGGTAAAAAATCGTCATCATTGCTACCACCATTATCATTAACTTCATAACTACCATTATTATCATCATCACTATAATCAATACCAACAAGCATGCAGGCATGCAGGCATGCCAAGGTTAACGAAACAATAATACCAATGGAAAATACATTTTTCAAAATGACCCATGAGAAGATTGGGTAGTACAGGCGCTAGTGGAGAGCCCATGGCTACTCCATCTATTTGATCATATAYTTTCCCGTGAACACATTTCCTCAGATAAAGGATCTCACGTATTCAAACACACTAACGCATTAGAAGCATGCCACAATGCTTGCTCTAGGAAGTGATTTTCCATCATTGACCAAGCGTCTTCTATATACACGTTAAAAATCAAGGAAGCATTACGTATGCAATGGCTTAAACCAACACTAAACCAACAAGTACATCATGTTAACCTTAAATTAGTTCATTAGCCTATCACCGATTGTACTCTGCTATATATATTGTTATCTCACTTTACTTTACCATCATTGATGATGGCAGTCGAACCTGCCGAAAATGTTTGGTTTAAAACTGCCAAATATCAAAAAGTGTCGTTGTTTGCCTAAATATCAATTTCATAATTTAATACAGTACATATATATCCCCAAAACAAGAATGGTCCCCCCCCCCCCCCCCCATTTATTTATTTATTTATTTTTCCTTCTTAAGTTCAAGATGCTAAGAAATCTATCTACTGTTGTGGAACTATAATATGTTAAATGAAAAAACACTGACACCGTGCGAAAAGAACTCTTAGTACAAATTTACCAAATCCTAACACACGTGCTGCCAGAAAAGATGTTGTCTTTAAAATTGCAATTTATTAAAGTTAAAGAATGCATCACTGAAGGTAGTACAATAGTAATTTTAAGGTTGCAATGACTTATTTCGTAGTTAAAGGTTTTATCTTCTTCCTTCCTTACTTCCTGCCCTCTTTTTTTTATTTTTTATTTTTTTGTCAATGTGAAACAAAGTTCTTTTTCCGAGGCTGTGGCGCTGCATGTGGCGCTGACACAGCCAAATCTTGTCTGATTTACCACCTACCTGCTATCATCTGTAACAAGGAAACAGTTTGCAGATCTTGATATCTCTGATACTGATCAGTGTGCAAAGAAAGATGTCAACGGCACTCTTGATGATTTTTTTAATTGTAGAGATTTTGGTGATACTTTTCAGTTTACCCGTACACCTTCACCTTCAAAGTGTTTCGTTCAATTAATATTTTTAATACTCAAATTAGCTGTTAAGATTATTTAGTCGTCCTTTTATTATGCTTTTAACACCTACTTTTTTTAAATCTTTGTTATTTTGTTGAGTTTGGAAGCGAATTCCGTGATAAATTATTTGTCTGAGGTTACTTCAATTACGAAAGACGAGTTTGACTTCAACACACTTCTATTTGCTAAGTCTTCTAAAAACAAATTCTGGATCTTTTTTTTTTTTGTTTGTTTGTTTTTAATTTAGGAATCGACTTGAGTGCTGTATTACAGGAATCATTAGTATAAGCCTTTTTTAAAATTCCTTTAGAACTACTATTTTATTCGACCTTCCTTCTGTCAAGTACTGAATATTTATAGGAGTGAATTCTTGTTAGTTGTCTCGAGCGATATCTATAGAGTAGATTTGTACTTTCGCAGTTTACATACAAGAACATAGCTTCGGCTCTTTGTGATGTCCGAGGATCAATCTACTTTTTATTCAGAACGGCTTATTTGAGTGGCAAAAGTAGCCGAACTTTCTTTAAGACTCTATGACTCTCGTTTTGAAATCTAACGAAAAGTTCTTTTTTCGATGTATCCAGCTCTGTCAACTTGCATCTTTCCTTGATTCTTTTGATATAAGTAATCCAAAGATAAAACTAAGTGGCGAGTGTGCGAATGTGCACAGGGGGTCCACATTGCTAGAAATATCCCACATGAAGCATCAGCAGTTCATTTCATCAAATTGCGAAAGTAGTCTAAACTGAATAAGAGCTATGTGCTTGTTAGTATCGTGGAACTTTTGTAATCAGATGACGTATATGAGTGAGCGAGTGACCCTATTGCATATTCAGACCCCTCACAATAACTCGTGTCTATGCATCATGTTTCTACGAGTTAGAAATTGGAAGTATAGGAATCTTCAATTTAGCTGGTGTTGAGGTTCTAAGAAAATATTGAGAGGTTGCTACCAGTAAGCATCAGATCAAACTAGACAAGGTCTGGTTAAACAACCAACCTTGTGACGTCGTAGAGCCCAAGAATGTTTTATGGCAGAGGAAAATTACTGACACCATTTTGTCTGTTGGCTCAAGATCAATTGACGTGGCATCATTCACAACACTTGTGAATAAAGGGTTTTACACAACTTCATTATCTACTGTGTCATGCACGTGGAACAAGGTATCCAGTGTGACATTGGTTCGTCTGATGAAGAAGAGGACCCTCGAATAAGAGCTCTAGATTACAGCCTGCTTCAAGCCCTAATCTAAAGGCAATTAAACGACAAGTATCTGGTAAAAACAAGAACATCTATTGGGAGTGGAACCTTCGGGAACTGCTAACTGGCATTTTATCGCAGCAAGACGGTTGTTGTTGAGTGAAAGATCACAAACATTCCGAAACATTTCATTTCACTTTGTATATTTCGTTACGCCTTTCTATTGTCCAGAATATCAACAAAGTCGTACATTCCAATACCTCTTTATTTGTCATTTATTTGATATGGAGAGAAAGAGAATCGATGTCAACCGATTATGAAAAGAAACTACAAACAGCGAAACTAGGGGTCAGTTAAAGCGTTTATAGTTGTTGTTCCTTATATTTCTACAGGAAGTTTACCACAATATTTATAATACAATACAGATATTAATAGCTTTGAATATTACATAATCTATTTCAGGATATAAGGTAAGCTGAGGCGGTTCGTAAGAGCAGTAAAACGATAAAGGCAACAGTTAAGTGCATGGCCAAGTGGCATTGACGTTTGTTAACCGATGCAGCGCCAGAAGCCTCCCAAGGATCTGTACTAATGTCCCGCTCTCCTCATAAAAAAGCCAGAAATGTGGACCATCACTCTACACAAGTGCCAAAAGTGCAATAAAGGGTCACGTGATCTCTGCAACATTACAAAACACGTTAGGAAAAAGGTATGTGCCCCGTTATAAGAGTGAAGTTGAACATTGGTATAAACATGTAATCAGAGATGGAAATTATTGTGGGTAATTATACTGAAATGCTATTTCATTAGTCCAGACCTTATCGTGAAACAAGTGGTAGTCGTTATTGGCAATGGTCTTCCTAGTCAAATTTATGACACCTACAAAATTTCCATTCCCAAAAACCTCAACTGATTAAGTAACCGTTATTAAGTGATTTTTGAACAAAGGGGCTTTCATTACTTGACCCGCGATTGATTATATACGAATATTTTGTAAAGGACATCGTCATTCCTGTTCAGTCATGAAGGAAAACACGTCAAATTCGTCTAGCTCTTAGTCAGACAAAGGAAACATGTAGATGAATTTTGGGCAGCCATTTCTAAGCGGGGAGCTCTCCCATCCTAAATTTCACCGGCACAATGGAAAAGGTCTTCTTTACGGAGAACATTTTCCGTGACAGCCTACTGCCATTTATTAAAGAGTGATTTCCTGATGGTCATCGATTTCAACAGGATTGTGGTATACACTGATCCTTAATCTCGGATTTTAATAATAAATTTATCTAATTGGGTTTATCTAATTGTTTGATTTTAGGCAAATTAGCAATGCAATTCATAGCGGATAACAATATAAATCATTGGTGCACTCCTGCTGAAAGCCCTGACCTAAACCCAATAGAAATGCTATGGCATGAAATGAAACACTTTCTTCGGAAGGATGTCAAGCCTAAGAACAAGGAAGAGATTCTGTCAGGCATCCAACAGTTTTGGAAAACAGTGATGCCAGAAAAATGCCAACAGTACATTGGTCAC